AACTGAGATATTGTATCTGAAAGTATTCGTTCTTTTTTGGTATTTCTGACATGCAAATAAACAGGTTTGAAATGATTGCAGATTTGATTTTATGTCGGTGCTGTACTTAATTCTGTTTTGTCCCTTTTCACAGCGTGTATGTATGTGTAATGTATTTATGTTATTAAACAATGCTAGCCTAAATTACAAATCACAATAAGATGCTATTAATAATATTTTGAACATATACTACCTTGCAAAATACTTATCAGCGTTGCTATTTCCGTAGCACAGACTTCCTCCTTTCATCTGCTTCCTCTTTCAGATGCAGACAGGTTCCATATGAAAATGTGTGACCATATTGTTTGCAGGAGTCCTCGGTGCACTTCCTGGTCTCTGACAGCGCTCTGATAGGAATATCCTCTCCAAACTCGGGCCCACCTTTCCTCAAACGTCAAACTGCAAAGGTGAGAGACACAAAACATGAAGCTATTGTTCAGAATGGTGAATAATAGACACAATATCAGGAGAGGAACAACAGAGAATCATAAGCATGCAGTAATCTCCAAAAGCTCAAGTCTCAATCTTCAACAAGTGCATTCAGGCCGAGAGACGGGCAAAGATAAGGAGAAACTATTTCCAAAGTTGCCAAAGAGGGAGCTGCCTCGGTCCTCGTTCTACAGCCTGAGTCCTGGATCTATAGTCCGTCCGTTTGTGGGAGCAGAATGTTAGCTTGCCCAAGGATTCTAACCCTTTTTTCCCACTGGGTTTTTGAGTTTCTTGATGATGCAAGAGGGTCCAAGGACAGTGGTGATGATCCAGGACATGTAAGGGCATTTATGAACATGTATTAACAATTATGGACATTAAGTAAGTAGTTTTTTTTTAATAGCAAATTTCACAGACAGAGTCACGAAGCGCTTTACAACTGCTGGCATTTGTCTCTCACTCCACACATGGGAGTGGGATTGCCATACAGCATCCGGAGGCAACCTATGCAGACACAGGGAGAACATGCAAACTCCACACAGAAACCACTGCGCCACTGTGCCGCCATTGGTCATCTGCCCTATATGGACCAATGGCTGCTATGAGTTCTATCGCTTTGAAACTTTGTAAAGTCCTCCGAGGTAACTACTCTTGTGATTTAGGGCTACACAAAAATACATCAAATTGACGTTACATTTTACAGCAATCAAGTCTAGACCTTGTTCCCAAAAGCAACTATTGATTTTAGTGATGGACGCACAACCTGTCTGAGAGCTATAATGCTTTCTACTGTATCATTAGCTTCCATTAGGCACGTTCAACTGAAATATAGATGATGGCAGCAGAATGCTTTGTGATTCACTGGTCGTTTACCGCCAACCGTCTGAAAACAGCCCGACCAGATCCAAACTGGCTTCTTCACAACACCTATTGGGCCTCTGAAAAGCTGTGATATTTTAACGCATAAACACATGGCAGCTGTTTACTACTACCGCTGTGTTTCCTCATGGCCGCCCACCTGCAACTCTTTCTTAAAGGCTTCACAACGATGACTTAAGATGTTTTATGTTTGACAGGATTACAAGAATAGATACAGTTATAGAATTGTTGTTATTGCAGACGACACAGTAAGTGAAATATGCTACTTTCTGCAATTTTAACCTTTTACTTAACTACTTTGAAATTCAACTCAATATAATTTTGTATCTTCCTAATTCACAACAGCAGTTATCTCAGAGTTGTTGATTCGCCAACAATAGATCAGAGAATCAAACAGTTTGAACACAGGAAATAGAATAATAACAAACAATGTGCTTTGTGAACTGTCCTCTACGCTACAAAATAATTTGTGTGTGTTCTGAAGGATTAATGTTAACGTTTATGTTTCTTTGGTCACTGCATTGGATTTTTTCATGGCTAACCAAGTAAAAGGTGAGATACAAAATGTGGTTCAGTGGAGTAAAACTAACAACCTCCAGTTGAACGCATCCAAAACATGTGAACTGGTCTACGACTTCAATTGTAATAGTTCTCATTTGCCTGTCGTAATCGACAACTCCCAGGTGCAGATCGTAGAGGAGTGCAAGTTTCTGGGTTTAACTCTGTCTAACCTGAAATGGGTTAAAAACACTGACAGAGTCGTTAAGAAAGCTCGTCAGCGTCTCTACTTTCTGCGTAAACTTAGAGAATTTACCACTAACTCTAAGATTCTGCTTAACTTTTATCGCTGCACCATTGAGAGTTTACTTGTTGGTTCTGTGTCTGTGTGGTTTGGAAACATCACAGATAAAGAAAAGAGAGCTTTAAACAAGGTTCTCCGCTCTGCTAAGAGGACCGTGGGCTGTGAGCTTCCTGTTCTGGAGGTTCTTTATAAATCCAGACTTTTAAACAAAGCTCTTAGGATTGTTAATGACTCTTCTGGCCACCCTGGGAAAGCCATGTTCCAGCTTCTTCCCTCTGGCAGAAGATATCGCTCTCTGAGATGCAGGACATCTCGTTACGCTAACAGTTTTTATCCACAAGCTGTTATCAGTTTGAACAGAGCACTTTAATGATTTGCACTTGTTTTGAAACTGTTTTAGTCGATCGATTTCACAGTGACATTTGTTTACTGTTTTATTTGTTTTATTTTTGTCTTTTAATGTTGTTTTATGTCTGTATATTTCTGTGCACACTGGAGACTTTTGCTAATGTATTCCAATGTGGTTTCTTACTGCAAATGGCAAATAAACTGAATCTGATCTGAATCTGAATCTGAATCTGAATCTGAATCTGATGGCTGGAAAATAAAACGTTGTTTTTGGCATGTTTATTTTACCCCAAAGGCATTACATGTGTAAAGGTGAGAGAGTCATCTGGACACAATTTTCAGACCTTTCAATTCCTATCCAGAAGTCATAGTCCAATCAGAACAAGAGTGATCCAAAAAATTTTAATAATTTTAATTCAAAGGGTGGTGAGTTTTGGTCCTGCTCTAGAGGGAGGACTTTGTTCTAAAATACTTTGTCCTATTTAGTCCTTTTCTCCAACAGTAAAGTTACACCTCCCTGTCCTGGGATTAACATTTGCTTCTTTTCAATGCCTTTATACAGTTTGTTTTTGTGCTCTACACATAAATTCTCTTCTTTCCTTCTATCTATCTAACCCAGTGGTGGGCAAAACCCGGCCCATGGGACAGATGAAGCCCTTTGGATGTTTCTATCAGGCCCCTGAGGCCGCCTCAGTTTATTTAGATATTGTATAATGACCATAATATTAATACAACATTTTAAAATGAAGCCTGACAAAAAAAATGGTAAATTATGTCCGGCCCCCGACAGCAAGCTGACCTTCCAATGTGGCCCTCAGGAGGAAAAGATTGCTCATGCCTGATCTAACCTGAGTCTAATGACGCTCCCTGTCTGGGTCGTTCTGACTGATTTCTGTCCCTTTTTAGTGACCGGTTTGTCCTTTGACCGAGGTGTGAGCACTCTGCTGTAAACAGAGGGTAAAGTGTTCTCTAATCCACCGTGTCCGTTCAAGGATGGATTCTCTTTTCCAAAATGGCCTCCTTCATGCCTCGCGTAGGAGGTTAAAGGGACTAGAGAGGACAGAGTATTATACAGAAAAATACTTTCTAGATGGCAGGACCTGAAAAAAAAAAATCCAAACCCAACCCAAAATAATATCAAATCTGCACACGTATTTCAGATGATTATTTCTGAAACCTGTTGTTGCGTCTTTTATATTTATTGATAGTTCTCTCGGGTAAAAGAACGCTAAAGAGGGAGGTTCAGACTGGAAGACAGAAAGAAGTAAGCGTGCACAAGCTCACTGCTGTCAGTCCGCCCTGTTGCTTTCGTAATGCCCAAAAAGCTTTCATTTGTGCAGCAACCCTTCTCCTCCCCATCACCGCCCCGTTAGCCAGACCACCTCTTCAAACCCTCTCTTACCTACTACCACCACAGTTTCTCAATGTGTATTTTAATTTCCCCATCTGCCGGCGTTATGCAATGCTCTGGCGAAGTTCCAAATCACACCACATTTCATACAGCATGCAATATTTGCCATTTGTCTGCAGAGTCTTATGTGCTTAGTTATGTAGTGACAGATTACTTGCCAATAAATACAATTCTCATAACCCCCTGTTAGAGTCTCTCCAGATTTAAGTGTTTTTTTGTGTGATTTGATTGTAATCCACAACATTCATCTAAAATGTCTTGGTTTTAGAAATGAAAGCATTGACTTTCTCTGTCTCTTCACACGGACAATGAACTGTAGCAACCAAATATGTACCATTTAAAAGTACATAGATAATACTACATTTCTATAACCTACACGCATCAATCAATCAAATGTATTTATAAAGCACAATTCATACAATCTAATCCATAGTCTAACCCATCACTCTAGCCTGGAACACAGGACACAACAGAATGACTCAGACACGCATCGATGACTCAAACTACAACTACGCGTAAACAACTACAATCTTGTAATAACAACATCATTCTTGTATTTTTGCACAATCTAAATACACATAACTGTCTGATTGATGGTAATGCCGCATCCCCGCCCCCCTTGCACATACAGCCAAGTCACTGTGAAAAGTTGCACACGCACGCAGTCCACACACAAACGCAGGCATACGGAGAGAGCGAGGCGTTGCGGGGGGCGGCGTGCATGTGTGTGTGTGTGTGTGTGTGAGAGAGAGAGAGAGAAGGGAGAGCGCTTCTCCTCTGGATAACAGCATCTTTCTCTCTCCGTCCTGCACTCTGCTCCTCCCCTCTTCCCTCTCGGCATCTCTCCCACGCTCCCAGGACCCTCCCCTTGCCACCCGAGGTATCCAGCACCGCGCTCGTGCCTTCTATGTGCAATATGTCCTTGCCGTGATTCTGTTTGTGTGTGTTTGTGTGTGTGTCTCTCTCTCCTCATTGCAGCTGTGGTGGGCGTGCGAGCCTCTGACCCTCGATCGCCCACTTTCTTTCTTGTTTCTGCCTCTGTGTGTGTGTGTGTGTGTGCGCATTTGGCCACAGCTGCTTTTGGGGTAGGCTATGGATGGGCTGCGTTTACCTCCACTCATCGAGGAGGCACTGGACTCTACAGGTTTGTCATGTTGTGTTGTTATATGCCCTGCCTATTTTTAGCCCTCACTACTGCACCGATATGATCACTGGAGAGCTTTATCTGCGTTGAGGGAAAACTCTTGAAACGCTTACATGGGAGGAGGAGGAGAGAGCTGGTCAGGTGGCACAAGCAGATAGTTTTATTAGAAGCTGACAGACGTGTGGGCATTACACTCTGTGATGGCATCTGCGCACGTTTGACGGAGCCCGCTTGCTGCCAGGTAATGGATGGATGTCTGCCAGAATGCACAAAATAATGTGGTTATTAGTGGCGATGCTGTATTGAGCTGCTGTAATGGATTCAATATGGAGATTGTGCTGAACTTTCTTAGTCCAGGGATGACTTTGCATCGGGGTTTTTTATTTTTTCCAGCTGTGATTGCTAAGCTTTGTGTCATGCGTTTTGTATTTGCTGAACTGATTTGCTTCATACATAGTCATCGTGTGTTGGAGGGAGGAATGCGAGGAATGTTTTCTTCATTTTGTCAGTGTTTTGGGTGTGCACACTCTGTACGCTTACATGCTGCCGGGAGGAGGATGTTTATTGCCGTAGAGGGACGGAGGGTCAGCTGGCCTATGACCGGCGTGCAGGTTGCCAGAACGCGACTTCCTGTTGTCCAAAAACTGAACTTTTCAACTGAATTCACAAAGGCTGCATAATATAAATCCACTGCTTCATGTTACTGCTAACACATAGTATGTACATGTCTCTGTAAATTGACAAGTGGCTCTCCAACCGGTACTGAGAGGAGTAAAAGTGAAGGTTTGGTCTGTATAAGTCTGTTGAGACAGAGTGGACCATTGTTTCAAGTTTGTTCTGACATAGACTTGTAAAGTATTAGTTTGGATTTGGCTTAACAGATGATTGATTGTTTTGAGGAGTTTATCTCACGACAAAATATTATGCATATATCCAGGACTCCCTTAAAAAATAGGTTCTTAATGTCAATGGGACTTTACTGGTTAAATAAAAGATAGATATAAACTCTATACAATATGTCATCAGGGCAGCTGTGGCTAGATCATTGGTTCATCACCGCTGTGTCTGGAGGGAATGGAGAACATGAAGTTTCTTTGAGAGTCCAGAAAAAGTCAATAAAAAAGTTAGGCGTTATTGTTATGATACAATATCTGATTTTGTATTGGTTTCCCTGGAACCCTGGACATCTTGATTTCACTAAGACCGTGCAGATGCGTATCTTTTAGATTTTTTATAAAACCATTGAGTTTAGTTACACTTAAAGACAGCTGTTTTTCTCTATCCGCCGCCCAATGACCATGACAACACGTTTCTCTAGGGCCTTCTTCGTTTTCCGACCTAACTTGCCAGTTCCTGTAATCTTAGCCCAAAGGACCTTTCCCCTTTCATCACATCTTTGGGCATATGCACTTTAAATGTTAGTCCTGGAAGTGTCGTGCTAAAAGCAATCGAAGTCCTGACTCCTTGATTTCCACTATAAGAGTAGAGTACACTACAGATCAGGGCAGGCAATTGTGTGATAGATAGTGAACTGCAGGCACTCACACAGGGATATAAATGGATTAGAGTGAATTGTCCTGGTTCAGGTCAGCTCTGGAGAGACTCTATTGTTAACATGATGGCTTTTGTGTTCTGCTTTTTGCCGAGTAAAGGCTACAAATCCATACAAACTTTCTCACCATCGATCATTTAGAAATACAGATGCTGTTCTCTCCCGGGAGACCAATACAAAACTGACACACAATTTGTCACCGGTTAACAATGTGTATCATCACTATCTTGTTATTTTCTCGCTCAATGCCGGTTTGTGAACTGTAGATGGTCCAGATGGATTATCTATACAGCCCAAAGTGGTAAATATGTGTTCTCATATTTTCTCTGAAGAAATGTAGCTGAGACTAGAGATTATTATTTGAAGTATTTGAGATATTGTATCAGCCTTAATCTCTTTCCATCTGTCCAATATTGTTATAATACCTCCACGATGTAAAAATTAAAAGTACATGCACAATACTATCCACAGATACAGATATAAAAACCTTCCACTCCTCTCCTTGCCCTTTTTAAAAACCGCCTTTTCCTACCATTATTCATCAAAGCATGATGTAATCACCTATGATATTTTTTTAATAGATAATTACGACATTAGCACCAACCCCCCTGTTTATTTACGGAATCAAATCCACCTTAAAAAGTCATAACATCTGAAAAAGTATATGGGTCAAATTCTGGCTAAAAATAGAGAATAAAAAGTGCCAGTAGGTAACGTTTGACAAAAAAACCAAACCAATACAATAAGGATATTTGATTTTTATATTTTAACAATTTAAAAAAAAAAGTATAAAAACATGTGTCTTTTCTGTGGGTGGTAGAATCTCCTCAAACTGCAAATATCTATAAACCACCACGGCATTAGATAAAACTCTTGTTATTGTATTTCCATGGAGAAAGCTACGATATTTCCATGGACCCTGAAGGCCTCACCAACATCGCAGTGTTCATTTGTGTTTATTTAGCATATTGTTACTCCTACTTGCGTTTCTCACTAAACTCCATTCTCCACATGCAGTCTTTTCTCTTTGGTCGACGCCTACACAATGATTTGAGTGCATGCATAAAGCTCTTTGCACCTGCCTACCTGCATTCCTCCTGCGTCCTCTCTTCTTTCCCATCCTCCCCTCTGCGCTGGAACATCCACACCACCAGTGATACTCCCAGAGGGAACCAGCTTTTTCCAATTCCCCCAATACCAATAAACAACACTGGCTTGGTCACATGGACTGGGAAAGCTGGGGACAAAGAAGACAGAAGAAGACAGTTTTACATACAGTTTCTTTTTGCACTTCACTAACCTTAGATCCCTTGCTTCAGTACCCATTACTGTCTCTGGTATGTGTTTAGCTACGTTTGACCTGCTTCCCCAAAGTCCCTTGGCTTTACCCTTTAACATTAGGACTCCCACAATTATGAAACTAGAGATGTATAAAAAGTAAGTTTTTTTTTTTTTTTTAACCAGTACTCACTTTTACTAACTGCTAAAACTGGTTAATACATATTATTTTTTACTTTACCTACATATACATACATACATATAGCCTCGTCCACTGTCTAATTGTTTGATTCCCTGATCGGTTATTGACGAATAGACAGTTTTGTAATGTCCTCCGAGACGACTCGAACTGTTGTGATTTATATTCAAAAATACTCTATATACTGTATATCTATCTCCAGGTGAAACTAAAATTAGAGTATTGTTCAAAAGTCCATTTACTTCTGTTAAGTTAAAACATCAAACTAATACTATGACAGACTGAGTATACTGTACATACAAAGTGAGATATATCAGCCTTTTTATTTATTATAATGTTGATAATTGGCTCACAGCTCGTAAAAAACCCAATGAAACATCTTAATCCTTTAAGTCATTATAGTCAACCTTAAAAAAAAAACAAAAACCTGGCATATTTCACTCTGATCTAATGAGTCTATATCATGTATTGGTTTCACATGTTACAGAAATAAAGTCACTTTTGAACGTCATTATAATTTTTCATTCAAATGAGTTTCACCTGTATGTACTGTACGTATCTAGAGTATGTATAATTAGTCAAGTTAATGATTCCCTTTCACGTGCTTTCACTGAATTAGCCAATAAAATACCCAAAAGTCTCACTTACGTACAATTAATCCGAACACAACCATTCGTCGTTCACTAGTACCTTGTCCAGTAGCATTTTTTTTTTTTGATCAGCTGCTATCGCCCCTTGTCTCTGAGCCGACCCCCTGGCGTTCGACACATGTCTTGGCCCCTGCACCTAGACTTCATTGTAAAAACTGTGGGTACCTGAGAGCGCCATATGCTGCTCTCCTCACGCTCCAGCGAAACAGGACGTGAGCCATGGATAAAAATCTCTCTGCACAGTCACGTATGGATTTTCCCATAACTTTTTCCTCTCAGTCTCAGTACACTTAGCACCAGCCTATAATTATAATTACCCCCCCTCTTTCTCTCCTTTGAATGCTTTTATTCTTCACTCTGGATTTGGCAGCAACGCACCGAACTGTACTCTCCGATAGTATCCCTCTGATTTCGACATGTGAAGGCTTTTAGGTGGCGGGCAATCAAACAGATTATTAATGCATCAGCTGTTCTCGTGCTTTGTTGCTGTTCACCTATGTTTGTAATCGTCGCATATGCACAGTTTCCCATAATAAACTTTACTGAAAGACAAACTGTCACACTTTTTCTGCCTGCTCATCTACAATAATAAGGCCAAATTACAGCACGTTCTCTCATGCGTCTTATAGCGCCGACCTACTTTTGCTTATTTGAAATGCAAACATAGATTTTTCGTTTGAGAAACAGAACGCCTCATTAGCTGGAGCCCACTCCTTCTGGGGCTAGCGGTGGCCAATCCTTTTGTTCTGGGATCTTTCGACTGTAGTCCCGGGAGCTTTGATATCACAGAGATGGACACATTTTCCCATCAGGCTTTGACAGATGGAGACTTAAATATTGGAGTGTTTAAGGGTGACCTAGTACATGTGTGAGAAGGGGATCTGATATGATCCTTTTCTGTGGGGGGACACTGTAGGCCCAGGTCTATTACAGAGTTCAAATCCATATGGTTCAGGCAGTTACCATGGAGATTGGTAAAGGGAAGTTTTGACTTTGATTGAGGCAGGCTGTCCAAAGGTTTTCAAGGATATGAGAACAGCAGGTCAAAAAAGTATATGTATATATATAAGAAAATAATAATAAAAACACATTTGTTAAAAAACTTGATGACTTCACATTGAATTTTGGTGGTTAAAAAAACATGGGCAGCATTTGTATGACTGTCTTTGGACTATTCAGATTTATTCTCTAATATTTCCTTCTACATTGTTTATTTGAGTAAAATAAATGACGGTATTCAGTAACTGAGAAAACATAAACGTACACTAGAATAACTACAGTAATCAATGCGGTTAGACAAAAGTCGTCTCAGCTTATCAGA